AACTTAACGATGAGTTAGGAAGTCAGAACTTATAACTTTATACTTATATACATTAGGTATATACATACCAAAATTAAATAATAAACGGATTTTTTTAAACATAAACCCCACAGTGCAAAAATTTAATTCCGTACGAAATATCTCGCTAAACTATTTTGCATACAGCTCACCCCTTTCTAATGGTTAACAATTATTTTTATTAACGGCCCGGAAGTATTCCCCTCACGTAAAAGTACAGTTGCATACAAAATTAAGGTGCATCTGTTAAGAATACACCTATATACCTACCTACATATATACATATACCTACATTTTCATAATAATAACAAATTAACCTAGGAACTAGGAGCAGATGGATATAAAAATAACAGAATCTGATTCGAATGGAAAAAACAAAAAAAAAAACAATATGAAAGTGTGAAGAAATACTGCATATTTCTTTTTATTTAGAAAATGTTTGATGATGATGATGATGATGATGGTATCGGTCGTTAACTATCACTGGTGAATATAGACTATTATGAAAATAGCTTTAGAATTGAAAAATTTTCGCACACGTCATATAAAAAATATACTTTTTTTTTTATACAACTTAGAATGGCAAACAAGCTGACGGCCCACCTGATGGAAAGTGGTAACCGTCGCCTATAGACATGAGACCACCGTCGCCTATACCATGGACATAACAGAGTATACTGTTTCGCCCATGATACTCCCTATTTTTTTGGATAACAAACTTTATTTTTGGATATTAGGTCTTTTTAATAATGTAAATTATGTACAATAATGGCTGAAATGATGATGACAGATTTTATACCTAATACGTATTGAATTCCTTTCCTTTTTGGAAGTCATTAAAAGAAGTTGAAATAAATCACAATTAAAAATATTTATATATTTAAGTACTTATATGAAAACAGATTAGTAGGTATATACCTACTTAATAATAGAAACGTACAGATTTTCTGTATTCAAATCAAAACTGTCAGTCAAATTGCATCGAACGGATCAACGGTAAAGGTGTGCGGTGTCGCTTATGCAAATTTTGTTCACTCCTAATCACTATTCGTATATTCAATTTTGAACTCTACGCTCAATGGATTTAGAGTCCGTAATAAAATTTAGATTTGGATAACAAAAAGAATATTTGCATAGAACAACCGTACACAGGAATTGAATATTTCACACTATATATACATAGTTCAAATTTGTCGAATAGACTAATCGATTTAAGCTTTTCCAGTACAGGATTTCGCCTAATTTGCATGGCGCATTGAAAGCGAAGTTTTATTTTTTAAATAGCCACAAAAGATTTTTTTTAATAAACAACATTGCAAATGCATGCAAAATTAGAAATAGAACATCTGCCATTTGGACTTAACCATAGATAGGGTCGGAAATGAAATTAAGTAGATAAGTATATGGCGAAAAATTTGGCACGTAATTTACAATAATCAAAATGCTTTTTTAAATGATCTTGTGATAAAAGTCTGATGATAGAGACTTGGGTATGTGAGCCAAGAGTTATACAGTTTTTGTGTCTAATTTACCTATGGGCAGTTACATTACTATAGCTTTTTTGTAGACAGCCAAATAAAACCGGCTCGAAGGATCAAATGGTCCGTCAAGCCAGCCTTTTTTATTGTTTATCAAAATATAAAATTTATTCTATATATAACTTATAATTACAACAATAAGATATACTTGTACAAGAACTAAATAAATGGGGAAAAAACAAATTTTTAGGTATACGTATCTACTGTTTCCAAATTATTTGTAAGTACTTACTATTTATAGACAGCTTGGTTGCATCTTACATGCAAAGTCGAATAAGTTACATAAAAAACTTTTATCTTCCTAAATTAATCTTTCCTGCAATCCTTCGACTATAATGTTATTTTTATCTTAATTTTTATTTACTTTTTAATAGTTTATCAAATTGTATAAAAGATCCTTTGAATAGGGAGTTATTTGTGTAATCTATTTCACAATTAGCCATGTTTTAATAAAGTTACTTACTTATTACCTACTGCTTATAATTATTCTCTTTATTAATTTAAATACCTTAAAAATAAATATATCTATAGAGGTAGGTAGTTGTAATAGAAGTACATTTATTTTAAACGACTTCAAAATAACCAGATTCTCAATATAATTGTATTTTTTTTTTTTATATTTGTTATCTCGTGACTCAGTCAGTTCTAAACCGATTTGGAAAATTCTATTTTTTTTTATCTGAAAGGAAACTTACAAACTAATCCCATAGAGAAAATTTTATAAAAATCTATTCAATAGTTTAGTTTTTAAATCAAAATAACAGGTATGTCACAATTAAAGTATTTTTTTTTCTGAGACAACCTTTAATTATTTCAAACAGGGAGACATCGGCAGCGTTGTCGCCGCGGACCTCAGTAAATTTGAAATTAGAACAAGACGCGTGCTATTAATTCCCTTTGGTTATTTTAAATTGTAACAAAATTTCTATTTACATTCAAACACCGTGAACTAGCGAAAACTAGTCCAAACAATACACTCCATTCAAAATCATTATGTTTGGCAAATGCACGCAAAAATTTATAATGCGCTCACCATTCCTGCAAACCAGTAATTCTTGTTCATTTGCTACGAACGGGTTTGATCACGCGCCTTTTTATAATTTGCAATTTTTTTTTTTTTAATAAAAAGGGTAAAATGCCAGGGGAATAGTTGCATACAGCCGAAACTGGTGTCTTTTGTGCCGTGCCATATTGTCCGGAATGACCTGTGCTGTTAACGAAATATTGAATTATTTAATAATTAACAGCATTTGTCATATATTTTGTTGCAAATGGACATAATTCATTTTTCGCAACGAGCCGTAATGCATTACTAACAATTATTGTGGTGTAATGTATGAATGTACATTTATAATACATACATATACATAGCAAAAGAGGATATAAAAATAAAAATACTTATATACCTACATACGCACTTATTTTCGAAACTTGTAGGTAGGTACGTTACCTCCTTAAATACTTAAGAGTATTAGATACATAGATACTCTTTTGTGTTTCCTCCAAAAGATTACAATAGTAAAATTATTATAGATATAAACAATTAAAAGAAATAATCACAATAAGAAAATAATGAGCGACATTATCGCTAAAAGCGATCTCTTCCAGGCAACCTTTGGATGGAGGGGAGTACCTAATTATAAACAGTTTGATCAATTATGAGTAATTAAATTTAAAAAAAAAGGAAATGATTAATTATAGACAGTATTAATAATAATAATTAATAAAATACTTTAATAAATAAATAATACTACATAGTAAAAATCACGTGGTTGCGATAGCGTAGGTAGTTTTATTAGTAGTAGGTTTATTAGTAGATACATATAACTAAGTATAAAAATTTTACATTTAACAGGTAGGTAGGTACATTCCAAAAAATTTGGATACATTCTTAGATAGGCATGTTGTATGTAACCTACCTATCTATGTAGATACTTGGGAATCATAAACAGTAGATACAAGCTAAATTATTTTTTTTCTTGCCTCATTGTCATCTTAATGATTGATCAATATTTATTGCCCATTGTAAAAATTACTGCTTAAGCAACAAAATTATTACCTAGATACCAGCATTTTTTACTATTTCGTCTACCTTGAACTCATATATCTTGTTCCCGTTTTCATATACGTAGAAAACCATGCGTTGACCCATAAGAAACCATCAAGCAACCTATAAGACTTTTCAGTTTTATCTTTTCTTCAAAAGATCAATCAGCATTATTCAGCTTATACTTTTTTTATCCTGACAAAAAAAAAATATTTAACTGACCTCTATGGAATTTGAAAATAGAATGCATAGTGCGTGCTATTTCCCGCCAAAACCCGGTTTAGTGCGTGCGAGCGCGCGCCGCCTCACACACGAGCCACGCCCCACATACGACGCCCAATCACACGTATTTATACACCCTCGCGCAACACGCATATTGATCTGCGGACACAGCTCGAACCGTTTACATTTCGACATATCACATGCTAAACACCGACAAACAATAACATATGAGATGAAACCGTCCTAATTTAAATTCTATTCGTACGCTTTAAAGACAAAATTTCATTGTTACCAGTGTGAGCACTTACAACGTGTCAAGTCTTTACAGGGGTGTAATTTATAAACCTACAATATAAACAGGAAAATGGACTTAAAATAATAGGGTTTAAAGTTTATTTTAACTTATGATAAGCTTTAGTTTACGTCCGTTATAGACTACATCAATCCGTAGCTGTATAGTCACGTCCTGACAATGCCAAGAGGATAGGATCACAAGGCTCAAGGTGACCATGTGTCACAAAATTTTAAACGTACACGGTTCTAAATAATTATTAGATAGTAGTATACAGGTATACTTATAAAATTTGACTCTATCTATCCACTTCTATATTGCTTAGTCTTTATTTTGTGTTTTTTTTTTTATGCTTAAGACTACGTCTGTGCAACAAACTAAAGGAATGCATTTTATTTCATAAAGGTAAATTTACATAATTCACTTTTGTCTTTACGCAAAGACAGGTAACGTAAGAATACAATTAATAAAATTAAGTACAAAATATTGAAGAAATTTTACTCAGTGCTGCCATCTACCTATTATAAGACACATCAGGTGAACATACTGTATAAAAAGCATTGATGTGCGCCTCTTAGGTATATGTTATAAGCATTATATTGCTTGGAACTTAAAAATGATTGCTATTTATCACAAGATGGCGCTATAATTTTCAACCAACTAGAACCAGACCCTACGGAATTTGATCATTTCATTTTCTACTCTAAAGAATTTACTTCTTATGGTTTCTATTATAATAAGTATTATTATATATATGTAGACTTTTTATTCTTACTCTGCACTTAATATTATACCTAATTTCATGAATATAAGTATAAAATATACAGTTTTAGTTTGTTATACTCTGCCCATTACCTTGCATGTTTAAATAATACAAATAGTATGATAAGTACAAAACTTTAATTTAAAAAAAAATCATTCTTGTTCAAATATATTATATAATCTTCATTTAATTCTAAATTCTAGTAATTACAAAATCTGTGTAAGTAGATACAAATACTTAATTTTATATTTTATTTACTAACATAATAAATTAATATAATTAAAAATTTTAATACATTGAAACCAACTGGTTAATAAATATGAAATAAATTAATACAAAAAAAAAAACTTAAACACCAAAACGGCACCAAAACAATGACCAAATAGTTTTGTAAATGTTATTTTGTTTATCACCTTCCTTATTTAACATTAGTATTGAATTAAGTATGCCTTAGTCATAACTTGGTCAACTTTGTTGATTAATATTATTACCGTATGTGATGAATGTACATCTATTTAATAGTAATTGATGTATATATTAAGAATACTTATTAAAATGAGCATTATTGATTGTTCTTTCAAAGGTGATGTAACTCTCAAACTATGATTATATGTGTATTTAAAAACTGATTAAATAATAAAAGAGATGCTAATAAAAAGATATAAAATTCAAAATAAAATATAATTAATTTGATAATAGCAAACTAAAATAATGACACTAAACTAAAAAATAAAAATACATAAAATATTACTAAAAAAAAAACACCTATTTTAGTCATGGCAACACAGTTAACTAGACCAATTTGATAAAATTTCTATGGGAATAATCTGAAAGTCAAATTAAATCAAAGCCAAATCAATATATAAATGGTAGAGTTCTGAAGTAACAAACTAAACAAATATACAACCAAATTGAGATCCTCCTCCTTTTTTAAAGTTGGTTGCTTAGTTTTGTTATTTTAATAATAAATTATATAAGTACAGTATCTGCCTACATCAAAAGTAAAGTGTAAGTTTTGTAGCAATAATAATGTGAGCTGAACTAAAAATCAAAATTAAATTCATGTAAAATTTTCTTTACACCCTTTCCATTCCTTTTTCTTTTAAATAATTGATTTTTCATATATTCACCATTTTTTTATCAAAAGAATACATTAAAATAAATACATAACTATTAAAAGAAACTCCATTAATCCATATAAATGGCAAAAAAAACATAATATGCAGTAATCTGTACATTTATTGAAAATAAGGTAATTAATTATGTAAATAATAGAAAGGGTATGTAGAATTCCAAATAATAAATTAGGGCTCTGTGCGTTTATCTAAATCTTTCACTGGTTCATTTATAACTAATGGTATATCACCACCTCCATTCTTCGGTACCCAGCCTGCAGACTCTTCTTCGAGCTTCCTCCTTTCCTCTTGTATCCTTTCATATTCATCTATTTCTATCTGGTACTTGGGAGTAGTGATACCAAAGAACCCTGCCAGTGATTCTCCAGCATAGTCCACAGCATTAAGTAGTTTTGTGCTGGATTTTCGGGCGTAGTGAGAGAACCAAGGCCCCCAATCCAATTGTTTCTAAAATACACAATTTTATTCAATCAGCCAGGATATATATAGATGTATTACATTAATTACAGGCTAATATGTTCCTCAATGAGAATATTCACTAATAGATATTTATTAATAATATATCACTCACAATAATTATATCACATTTTAATATTAGCTTGTTTCACATAATTTTAACTTAAATGATAACCTTTGTGAGGAAAGAAATAAACATTTTTATTTCATTATTATTCATTTAGGCACTGTCCTTTAATACCAAGATGTTTTATTGTTTTCAAAATTATTGGTATTGGTATAAAATATTATAGGAGGCTTGGTGGGCTACCCTAGGATATAATTGAAGCTTTACAGAGACGTATTCGAGAATACATATATACAGCTTTTTAAGTGTCCTGACCTTCCAGACAACAATTTCAAATATGCCAATGACGAAATATCCTTATATATAACAGAATATTCTCGAGTTTAATAGAAAATACAATGAATCAATAAATGAGCACTGTAGATACAATATTAGTCATACTCCAATAGATATGAAATTACTGTGCTTGTAGTTTATATTTGCTGGCAGTTCCAATGCCTTCCCCTACGCAAATTTTATACATAATTTCCTATATATAAAATTTGCGTACATATATGTACGGAATTTGAGTAGTAATTCAAAACAACTCTGTATAGGTAGTTTAGCTAAATCTCAACTCACAGGGTCAATTTCTTCCTTGGGAGGATTACTTTGCAAGTCAGTCACTACGTTTTCTTCCACCTCTTCTTCAACGCCATCGCTAAAATGTAACACTCTCCCAGGCCTGTTAATAGTTATTTCTACTTCTTTATTGCTGTTCTCGCTATTATCCTCCATTTTATTAAAGTTTTAGTCATTGTTTATTTACGTCCTTAATTTTTTTATTTACCATTGAGCCAGTGTTGCCCAGTATGCCACTTACACTATAGTCGATTTTTAGCCAAATTTGAAACATTTTTTCTTCAAATTGATACGATTTAATTTATTTTTGACAAATCACAAATTAATATTTTACAATAATATTTGTTGTATATTTTAATATATTTTTATACCGCTATGACATTAAATATAAAAAAAAATATTAACAAATGGCATATATACAAACATAACTTTGAATGGAAAAGCTATTAAATATGTTGAAGAATATTTATATCTAGGCCAAATAATTTCTTTTGCAAATGATACAAACAAAGAGATAGACAGGAGAGTCGCCAATACATGGAATAGGTATTGGTCATTAAAAGATATCATGAAAAAGAAATATATATCTATAAACGACAAAAATAAAGTGTTTGATACATGAATATTACCTTGTCTATGTCTTGTCAAACATAGCCATTATTAGTAGACATTAAAGAGAAAACAAAATTCAAAAATGTTATTTATACAATAAAAAAATTAAAATGGAGATGGGCAGGACACGTTATGTGAGAAAAACCAAAAATGGACAACAACTGTAACAGACTGGTACGCTAGAACAGGCCAAAGAAGACAGGGAAGACCATTGACACGATGGGTTAATAAGATATAAAAGCAGCAGCAGGTGCATTTTGGACAAGGATAGCCAAAAACAAAATAGAATGTAAGACTCTGGAGGTGGTCTTTGTCTTTGGACAAGAGAGGGGTTGAATTGTTTATTACAACTGTTATGTTACTTCTTCAATAAAAGCTTATATTATTATTATTATTTATGACAGTAAATAGTACCGAAACTGCCAAAAAATATTACCCAAATTTCTTTAAGTAGTTTCATGATTTCTTTTCTCCTAAATTTTATGATAGAATTTTTATTCAAAATTGAGAGAAACTACCTAATGTGATAACGCTCACAAAAAGTAATTACCATAGATTAAAGAGATTATCGAAAGTAATGGAAATGATGAACATTTAATTTGAATTGACGATTAAGTCATTTCATAATTTCACTTTTCAGTTACTTTAAACAATCATCTCTTCAATTCAGCGACTAAGTACATTTTTGCAAAATTTTTGTTTAAAGTAAAATTTTGGAGTTATAAAATTGTTGGACAAATTTTTAAGAAAAGTGAAAAGTGAAAACCTTGGAAAATTCTGAGTAACTTTTTAGACACTGTATTTGCAAACTATATAGAGACATATAAATATTATAAAATATATATATGAAAGCAATAAAATGGCGGATGGCTTGAGAGAAAAAAAAATAATACAAGTTATAACTAGAAACAAAAGGAATTTTTTTATCGTCATTTATTTTGTCGTACAGTATTACATTGTATAAAACGATACAAATTTGTGATTATATAAAAGCCGTGGAAATTGTACTCATTTGGATGAAAAATATTTGTCGTTTGGGTAAAATTAAAAATTCGCATCTGACAACTCTGTATATTGAAAAACCACAGAATACTTTTGTTTACGTTGTATAGAGACCATGTACTTTCGTTAATCTATATTTATTGATAATATGTCACAAAATGTATGTTGTTTTTGTACAATTGAATTATTGTTTGTTATATTTAAAAGTGTAATTTAATAATATAAGTAAACTTAATTAATTAGGATTATATGTGCTGTATTTAAATATAACATTAATTAGAAAGGTACTCACAAAATGTCACTTTACATTTTAGTATACTTTAAATGTATTAAAATTCTGGCATTAGTATCGGCGGGAAAAATTACCTTATTTAATACAAGTAAAACTAATGAATTAAAATTGGAATAACAAAGGAATCGAAAAAATCTACTAGTTCTAACCCACATGGTCAATGGATACCCTTAGGGGTTTTTTTTAACATTATTACCAACATGAAAGTCTGCTTACCCCAATAGGAGACGGGCGTGACGGATATGTATTTATGTAATATTTTAATGATCTCATTAATTATTAGGTTGTTTAAATATTATTATTTTATTTATTATTATTTGTATCAGCTAACATCAATATGAGTACTATTCTAACTCTCTTGAGAGCAATTGAAGGACTTAGCACTGTCATTGTTAGCAATATACCCTGTGAGGTCAACCTCCACACATTACTTCTCGAAACCATCATAATTCTCACTGATTTTATTAAGAGCCAACTGTTCTGAGTTCTCCTTACCTCTTGTCTCTCATTAGTATTCTGCCAGTGTTAATCAATAATGCAAGTGAGATTATTATTCTAGATTCATCCATTAAATAATGATTACTGTTTAAAGTAATTTATCTACATGCATATAAGTCACGCCTCTCTCCCATCGAGGTAGCCAGAAACAATGAAACACCAACTCCTTCAATTCAAACAGACCTCCACTCACTTACTTCCTCCACATTCATCAATATATTCATACAAACTCAAGTTGTTTAATGTTTTTATATTTTTCATGAATCCATATAATACTTTGTACTTGCTTACAGGTAAAAGCTAAGGATAATACAAATCTTACCTGCCTGATATAGAAAGAAGACAGCGCACAGAAATGGAAGGCTTTTGTAGAGGATGCCTAGTACAGTATAATGATCCAGCTGAACTCCTTCAATATACAGAGAAGAATAGGAGACTTTTCGTCTACTGTACTGGTTTACAGGTAGTATAATTTATCTATCTCTTCGCCACTTCATCGGACTGCGGTAATCTTTGCCCTCTCCCATGTACTCGCTACAGTACAGCACACAAATATAAAGTTCTATAATAATCTCAACCAACTTTGCCTGATACAATAAAGAACTACATAATTAATAAGTTGCATAAATATGTATTATTTATCAACAATATTATAGCTTTGCCAATATCCCTCTTAAAGTATCTTTAAAAGACTAACTGCGGTTGCCAACCTGCCTGCCAAGCGTGGCAACTACTGGCAATACTAACCTTATGGGAAAGGATTATGTCCAGCCGTGGACAGTTAACGACTGAAATAATTATAAAATAATTTATCCACACTTTGAATAATAAAATTGGGGAACTAAAATACTAGTTTTATAGCACAGCATTGCTCGTGATGTCAGTGTATTCAAACTCCTCTGCTTATATATTTTTATAGACTGAAGGGAGTGGTGGTGGGGGGGGGGGGGGGGGGAGAAAGAGAATACTACCATCCCCAAAAATATTGGATGACATTCTATAAACCTTCAATGCTGCTTTGAGAAACTGTTAGCTAGATTTCATATCATATGAGTATTCCAACAGTATCTATATTTAATTCTGTTATTAACAGATAATATTGTGCATAAATAAGTAAATATAAAGTAGTTCAACGATATATATGTACAAAGTTCCCCTAATTGCCTACAATCATAAATATAACATAGTAAATGCTGTTCTTTGAAAATCACTCAAGAAGGATTAAGTTTTTCTGATTAAAGGGTATAAGGAAAGATGAATTTATTATTAATTTTACAATAAAATACTTACAAAATATCTTTATTACAGGTGAAGCGTAATGACACATTTGTATTCCAGCTATGCAAAGATTGCTATATTAATATGAAACAATCATGTAAATTCAAGAAACAATGTAGAACATCCGACAAGAAATTCAAATACTATTTATTATCCAAAGAAGGGGATGACACAATCGACTTGGGTACATTTCTTAAAAATCATGATGATAATATGGTGTTAAGGTGGGTTTACTTCCTATGTCCTTATTTATATTATAAATGTGAAAGTGAGTTTGTTTGTTTGTTACCATATAGTGTTTTAACGCCTTAATCAATCATTATGAAATTTGGTACTATAAGGTATTGAAATTAATATATAAAATTTTGTATGCAACTTAGAATGGCAAACAAGCTGACGGCCCACCTGATGGAAAGTGGTAACCGTCACCTATAGACATGAGCAGTATCATGAACTTAACAGAGTATACTGTTTCGCCTATGATACCCACACATGTTACCACTCCTGAGGACTAAGGTGTTATTCCTCTTTATCCGATCATATCTCACCCTTCAAACTGAAACACAGCCATGCAAACAACTGCTTTACGGTTGAAACATGAATGAAACAGAGATAAAAGCTACTGTCCTGGTCAGTGAACATGTCCTGGTGTAGTGGATGAAGTCGCGGGTAAAAGCTATAACTATAGCTATAAACTTATAACTAACCTATAGTTTTTTTTTATGGGTGAAAATGGTATGGTAACCCCGCCTGCGCTGACGGGATACGCTGGCGTAGCACCAGTGAAGGGTGATAGATGAGAATGAAAACAGGTCAGTTAGCCCATCGTAATAAATTCATCAGGAATTAACCATGATAGTTTCCAGGGGGAACCGCGAGGAGGTCGACCTGGTTGGGTATATTGCTAGCAATGGGATTCTCAGTCTCCATTACTAACAATCCCTTTCCCCCATAGTTACATATTAACCAGATTTTTTTATGGATAATATGATGCTAGCAATATTGGGTATATTGCTAGCAATGGAACTGAGAGTCAGTATTACTAACAATCCCTTCCCCCCAACAATATTATGATTGACAGAGTATTATCAACATAAAAATATAAAACTTTATACCTAAAAGAATACAGGTTGAAGTACACTATAATAGGTACAGACAAAATAACCATTGATAACTCCATATCTATACAAAACCCTATATTTTACAGGATAAAATCAAATTTTTTCTCTCTTCGTTATTTATTGACTTTACATATATGTCATTATATATTATGTATAAAAATATTGCAAATTGTCAGGTCGACCTCCACGTGGTCCCCCTGGAAACTATCGTGCTGAATTCCATTTGTATTCATCAACATGAGCTAACTGACCTGCCCTTTCATCCTCATTTATCACCCTTCACTGGTGCCCCGTTAACGTATACCGTTAGCGCAGGCGGAGTTGCCATTCCTTTGCCATCTATTAAAAAAAAAATCCATATTGTTGTGCGATATAAAAAAAATAAACAAATAATCACATATTATGTGAAAATATTTCAGATTTCCATTGATGAGCGGTAACAACACGCCTGCAAATAACAGAAGAGATGATGATAATGGTATGCAGTTAAGAAACTTATTATAACCTTTGTTAAGTTCTTTTTCTGCTACACTTTTTGCAATCTTGTTGACATTTTACGATGCTATTATTTTCTGTGATTACGACCACGCAAGTGGGAAAATGGACACAGCCCCAGTCTTGCTGTGAAGTTCATTGCTCTACTGAACAATTTCTACATTTGCATATGCTTATATATGTATGCTCATAATAATTGTTTGCAGTTATTATGTTTTGTTTGCTATCTTGTATATCCATAAAATAGGTTCAGGTATCATGGATCATCTTTTCATGTTCAATAATAGAGAATAACTATTGTATCTAAGTATATATTTTGTAGTAACTCAGTAAACTTATTAATATAATAGTCGTGTTGTATATAGACACTCTTAAATCCATAATTTGCCGTATATAAAAAACAATTATCTAAAACTAAATTTTCAGCATCTACATGCACGAGTATCGGTAACTTTATGATGGACCTCCTGCAAGGTGAAGAAATGCCCGATACAGAAGCACGCATAATCAAACAAGTGATCGAGGAAGAAGCAGATGTACTGGAGGACTCGCTTGATTCCCACTGGCTTCAAGATGACATATCTATCGATCCTGACTTCGGAATAGATTTTAGGTAAAATTGTTCAAAAATATTCCTATATTTTTTTTCCACAACAATGTAATTTAATAGTAGTAATTAAATATATGGTCTGCCAGATAATAAACCTATTGCAAACCCTTGTGACATGAAGATCTTCACAATACCTAGTAATTTCATTGCAGTATCTAACTTGTCAAATCATAAGTAGCATGTAAGGTATTTGGCGAGGGTTATGTATATATCCATATAGACAGCTTTTTATAATGAAGCCAAAGAACAAAAACTTTGGTATACTATTCAACATTATTAATTTGTCAGTTAATGACACTTTTTACATATTTTTACTATATGTATGACAAATTTTACAGTTTTAGCCCATTCGCAACACCCCACTCAGTGAATAGAGATCATTGTTACACGCCAAAGAGACCATCTGATCAACAAGTTCATAAATATATATGTTCATCTGTAACTAAAAGAAATGTAAACATAGACCAAGATGATGACGCAAATAATGTAAATACAAATGTAAATTTTAAGAACAATGAAACTTTATACACCAAACAAATAAATAGAAATCAAGATTTGAAAACACATCTAGAAGATAATTTTTACACTGAAAATGAATTACAGTCTAATCACATGAAAAACAGCATGAAAACTATTTACTCTGATAACATTTTACAATCTGATCAAACGAAAAATAATGTAAACATTAATTTTCATCCAAATTACGACGACGACGACAATTTCGATGATTTCGATGAAGTTGAAAATAATGTGCCCATGATTGACGCATTGTTAGTACCACCGGAAAATGTCAATTATGACACTGAAATTGATCATGTCGGTTCGAATATTATCGTTGAAAATACTGTAGGACACGGTAAAAATTATTATATACCAAATGATGTTACAGATTATGAAAGTAATATTGAAATAAATCATGACTTACTTGATAAAGATATTAACGAAATCAAAGTTACAAATATGAAATGTACTATTGATAGGAATTTAGAAGAAGCGTTAAAGGATTGTGACAAGAAAGAGATTTCATTGGAGGACTTACTTGCGTCGCCTACAGGCAAGTAATTTGGAAATTATTTAATTTAAGAAAAAATAATAATTGGTCATTTTTGTGTAAAGAAAATTTATCAACATACACTGAACTTTGGAAAATGAAATCATATTACGTCTTGTAAATATACTTTAATATATTTCATTTCAGTGTTTCCGGGGACGTATGCGCCATCTACTCCAACAATAGATAATATAATGCGTGAAGCAAAACCGGAACTAGACGACCATAACAGCAATGTTCACAAAGTTGGACAATTTATAGAGAAATTTCAAAATGTAGATAATTATATTAAAGTGTTAGATGATTTCTTTACTGATATCCCAAATCAATATGATTTTCAAGATTATAGTAAAGGCATTAACAATAAAGAAGATTGCAAAAAGAAGACTGAAGATAATCAACGCGGCAATGATATTGAGAATCAATATAACATAGAGGATTGTTATTGTAAAATATGTAAAAAGAAATTTAAAACTATGAAAGTACTAAGGATACATTTTACGAAAAGCCATAAGTTTAAGATACCACGCGAGAAAGTTAAGAGACGTCCGAAGCTGTGTATATGTGATTACTGTGGCAAAAAATTTGTAAATTATCCAAATTTTGTTAAACACGTGAGGAATCATATGGTAAGGTTATATATTTTTTTTTTTTGTTCATAGCTTTTGCTTACTTGACTGCTTCGTATTTTGTCATTTTCACAACCTCTTTCGACTTCCTGCAACAGTTAAGGTTGTAAAGTCATCTCGTAGCGTGATCCTACACTGCTAGGTCGACACTTTTGATGATTTTTGGGATTATATCAGTCATTTTTCTTTGTCACACAGTAAAACTTCAAGTGTAGCCTCTTCTATATCTCGTTGAATTGTTTTTGTTTATATAAAAATATATATGATAATTGATGTAGGCAAAATTACTGCTAGAAACCCCATTACCAAAATACAAAAATCTTTATTGTGATGTTAATCTCTATTCTATTTTTTTTTTCTGTTTTCAAGCAAAAAGAAGGAGGTTCCTAATTTGTTGTATTTTTTTTTTTATTTTTACCTCTACTCTGTTCTAAATCGCTTTGAACAAACATTCTTCTGAAAGGATATACTTACAGATTAGTAGAAATTTTATCAAAATCGGTTCAATAGTTTAGTTTTTAGATTAAAATAAATGGTTATGTCATAATTGAAGTAATGTTTTTGTGAGATATTCTTTAATTATTATTAATACGGTTTGTCTTTTTCCCGTGCACTAAATTCTCAATTTGAAAGAAAGTAATAAAAAATATTCCAGTAGTTAAAATGCATTTATACGACTTTGTTTTTATAAATAAGTAGGATAATAACATCTATATTGTAATTTTCAGAGACCGCCCATCGACTTTCGTTGTGAACGTTGCTCAATATCGTTTACTTCTAAAGCTTTTCTACGGGCTCACCAGACCAGTCACATGGGGTCGTACCTGTCTAAGCCAAAAATGGAAAAGGTTAGCATTTCTCGCATAACAATTGACTTAATCAGTCACTGGAATTTGGTCTGAATATACTTTTATTTTTTATTCAGGATCTCTGTTCACTCAATGCGATCTCCGTACGACACTAGAGGGAGACTTTGTACAAATGTCGTTTGCTTGGGCATCTTTTTGTTTTTACCGTGAAGCAGTTGTTTCTTTTTTTTTTAATGGGTGATAATAGAACAGTATTTTTTTTTATACAACTTAGGTAGAATGGCAAACAAGCTGACAGCTCACCTGATGGAAAGTAGTAACCGTCGCCTGTAGATATGAGCAGTACCATGGACATAACAGAGTATACTGTTTCGCCCATGATACCTCCCATGCGTTGCCATTCCTGAGGACTCGGGTGTTATTCCTCTGTACCCAGTAAATTCACGCCATATCCCACCCTTCAAACCGAAACACAGCCATGCAAACACAACTGCTTTACGGTTGAAACACGAATGGGACAGAGGTAACTCCGCTTGCGCTATCGGTATATAATGGCGGGGCACCAGTGAGGGATGATAGGTGATGATGAAAGCAGGTCAATAAGTCCATTGTAATGAATTCAACGATAAATTAGTCACGATGGTTTCCAGGAGGAACCGCGCGGAGGTCGACCATATACCGACCTACCTATAGAAATGGAGACTAACCTCCCAATTAATAACAATCCCTTACTCCCTTTAGAGCGAAGTTTAATGGATAAGGACTAAATTTGAAGTGGTACAGAATTTTTGGGAGGAGTTGGGAGAGACCTGTACCCTGCAGTGGGACATGTGTTAATAATTAAATAGAATAAACTTTCTTCCACGCATAACCACTCTTTGGAATCGACTTCCAGCAGCAGTATTTCCGAACCGATACGACAACATAACCTTCAAGAAAAAAGTATATTCTATTTTAAAAGGCCGGCAACACACCTGCAATGCCGCTGGTGTTGTGGGTGATTATGGGCGGTGATAGTCATTTACCATCAGGTGAAGCATGCTCGCTTGCTCCCTGTGTGGTAAAAAAATGTTTTTTTTTTTTTTTTTCAGAAATTTTATTGCCATATCTGCGGTGCTACGCTGTCGACATCTGGCAACTTTGCTGTACATTTACGGCGGCATAATAAGGACTATGTGGCCAGTTGCGAACAGTGCGGGAAAGGTTTCGTCACGAAAACAGAATTTGCCATTCATATGAGGTACAGTTGACATCGAAAATCAATATAAAAATTTTTACTAGATCGATATCAATATATTAGATTTGCCTGGAAATTGATGGCGGAAATAAAGGTTATCCACCTGTTTCAATATTGCACGTACCAGCTAGGTTACCAGCTAGCTATAATTTATTTTACACTTTATTGCACTATTTATAAAATAATAAAGTTAATTTTAATGAGAAGTGGTACAAAAAGCGAACTTGTCGCTAAGCAACTTGTCTTCAAGACAACCTTAATATCAATTTCGATGGTGTTCTTCATTTCGATATATATTGGATAATCGATATTTAATATATCATGCACATTCTGTATAAATACTCCTTGTATACATCTCTCTTTTGTGCGCAATAAAGAGTTTATTACTATATTTGTTATTGGCCCAATATCTATATATCGTAACAAATATTACTATATATTACACACCCCTACTTTTTATGATTCTATCGTTGAATTCGAAATGTTGTTATTTACTAACATCTACATGACTATTTGTAACGACAATCGGTGTAACCTGAACACCTACCATGAAATGTTCCCAAAACTTTAGGGCCGAACGAAACACAAATTTGATGTTAAAATTACACAATACAAATAGTTTGAAAATATTAAAATATTGTACCTTTGGTCTAATATGGTAGGATTTATGACGAACAAAATGTTAAACTCCATTTACTGGGCCAATTTCGGTACGAACAGAAGCACGAAATTGAGTATGGACATTTGGAATTTATAAAAACATAACATAGTATCAAGTAAAATATGCAGCGCAAAAGTCTAAAACTTAATGTAATCGGTCTATCATTATTCACTAATCTGTAATTGTTTTTAATATATAAAAACCCCATGTCATGATGTTCGGTCACTGTAAATTTCAAAATCGCTCTATCGACTAAACTTTGTAAATGTGTATTATTGATAAACATTAAGATATCTTTCATGTGGTCTCGGCATAGAATAGGCCACTCCTTTTTATACCGTGGGTATCGTAGGAGCCGACTAAAGGGAGGATGAGGAATGGGCAGCAGCGTCCCTCTTTAAATGTTACTAAAGCCTGACTGCAGTTACCAATTCGCCTGTCAAGCGTGGCAACTACTGGCAAGACCCCAAGGGGGAAGCTTATGTTCACCAGTGGACAGTTAAAGGCTGATATGAGGATGATGATGATTAGGAAATCACATAAATAAATATATTTTCGTGAACTGGGTGTTATTTTGCGAAAATCCATATCACTGGTTAGTCGATTAGAATTATTTAGCGGCATCCAGACTGCGATGCCTGATTTCTAGCCGAACAGTCAACGCTAGACTCCGAGTTAAGCGAACGAACTATGCACCTTCAGGTAAATTAATAGATATTATCAGAGGCTAATAATATATATAAAGATGCCTCGTTTATAAGTGAAACACGTGTCGCAATATGTGCGTGGATTGAATAATGGTCGGAGATTGATGACGAATGTTGGCAGTCCCACACATACTAATAGTAGCTGGATTAATCAAAATATTTCTAATCGACTAACCGGAGGGGGGAAAGGGATTGTTAATAATGGAGACTGAGAATCCCATTCGTAGCAATATACCCAACCAGGTCGACCTCCCCGCGGTTCTCCCTGGAAACTATCATGGTTAATTCCTGATGAATTCATTATGATGGGCTACTTGGCCTGTTTTCATTCTCATCTATCACCCTTCACTGGTGCTCCGCCAGCGTATACCGTTAGCGCAGGCGGGGTTACCATACCATTTTCACCCATCAAAAAAAAATCGACTAACCGGTAAAATATAAACTTTTATTTGCAGAAAACACACAGGGGAGCTACCCTTCAAGTGCACCGAATGTAAGCGAGCATTCAGACGTCGAACGGGCCTCATTCTTCATGTAAAAACTCATATAGGTAAGTATATACTTATGTATATAAACTTGAGTATATAGCTTTAGTTATTAGTCACATTTTCAATTCAATACAGTAAAATGACATTTCAGTGTCGGCCAGTTCTAGATATCAAAAATCATATGAAAAATGATCCAAGTCATTGAATCATTATAAAAAAAGATCTGGCCTTTTATTAAAATAAAACTTTTAAATACTTGACCGGTTTTTTTGATGAAAAAAAGTATCCCCGCCTGCGCTAATGGGATTATTGATAGATGAGAATGAAAAAACTTGGCCCATCATGATGAATTCTTTAGGAATTAACCATGATAGTTTCAAGGGGGAACCGCGAGGAGGTCGACCTGGTTGGGTATATTGCTAGCAATGGGATTCTCAGTCTCCATTACTGTCCCTTTCCCCCCATACTTGACCGGTCTGCGTCACGTGACTATGATTAGGCCAGTTTTGTCTAATTTTATTTTGCAATTTTAAATGAGTTTTGAGTGATTAAAATATTAAGATGAAATTCACAATGGCACAATGTTAATCTTTTGTACGGATACAAATGTACTTTCGGCGCACTTAAAATGTTTTTCTCTTCAATTTACTTTAGAAAGAAAGAGGTTGTCAAATCGGTTGTATTTTTTTTTTCTATTTTTATAACATAATTCCGTGAGTTCTAAACCGATTTGGAGATGTTTTTTTTCTGAAAGTATATACTAACAGATTGGTTTTATAGAAATTTTATAAAAAATAGTTTAGTAGTTTTTTTGCAACTTAGAATGGCAAACAAGCTGACGGCCCACCTGATGAAAAGCGGTAACCGTCGCCTATAGACATGAGCAGTACCTTGAACTTGTAAATGTAAATAGGACTCTATTTTCCGCACTTAGCTTCTCATTTGGGCCGTTGTGCGTATGTACCGTGGACTTAACAGAGTATAAGTCCAAGGTACCTTGGACTTAACAGAGTATTTTGTTTCGTCCACGATATCCTCCATGCGTTGCCATTCCTGAGTAAGGTGTTATTCCTCTGTACCCTGTAAATTCACTGCCATATTCTTCCCCTCAAACAAAAAGTTTAGTTTTTATACCAAAATAACCAATTTTGTCACGACTTAAATTGGTTTTTTGTGAGACAGAATCTTTAATTATATTTTAATAGCATATAGATAAGAGAACTCATACGATTTAAATTTACATTTCTAGGTGAAAGGCCGTTCGAATGCGACCACTGTCATGCGAGATTCATAAAAAAGGATTCAATGATACGACATACAAGGAATTCAAAGTGTGCATTGAAAGTACGCGGCCTTTATGTGGAGGATAAAAGTAAGAAATACGCATACGAATGCTTCTACTGCCACAAAAAGTTTGTCAAACAAAAGAATTTTATAAATCACCAAAACACTAAGTCAAAATGTTTAACAAGGCGTCAGGGCATGGAAAATAGAAAAGGCGAAGAAACAATTAAAGAAGATCCCGAATTATAGAAAATAAGTAAGTATACAGTTTTTTTTTTAATGGATGATAATGGAATGGTAACCCCACCCGCGCTATTGGTATACACCGGCGGAGCACCAGTGAAGGATGATAGGTGAGGATGAAGTAGGTCAGTTAACCCATCGTGACGAATTCAACAAGAATTGTTCACGATGAACTGGTTTCCAGGGGGAACCACGTGGAGGTCGACCTAATAAGGCATATTGCTAGCAATGGGGCTGTCAAACTCCATTGCTAACAATCCCTTTCCCCCCAGTAAGTATACAGTTTGCATGGTGGTATATTTCAGCCTATAGTTAGGCTTTAGCCTATCTGACATTCCTGGGCTAATTTGTCCTATCCTGATGATGGAAAGGAAAGGTCTCTTGTTACTGAAGTGCTCCCATGCAAAGGTGGCGTTTAACTATTGTATAACGCAATTTAGAGGGGGAGGGGGTGTCTTGTAAAACGTTACGATGTTTTACAGGAGCAAGAGGGGAGGTTCGAACAACGAGTTACGTAACTTTTTTTTTATTTAAATAAAAAACTAAGGAATTAAAATCTCCAAAATTTCCGCAACCCTTTTTACAGGGTTTCACCTCGACTGTAAACTATTAACCGATAACTAGTGTAAACTATTTGCATTTTGTTTCAGTTGTCAGTAATTAGTGTTGCGACTTTTACGTATTGCCCAAGCGGGAGGCCTATGTTCAACAGTGGGCAGTCAACGGCTAATATCATCATTATCATCATCATCAACTATCGCGAGTCATAATGTAATTATTCATGTCAGCTTTACTCATGTTTTAAATTTGGGAACCGACGAGTTCAGTGCTCCTCGCGACACAGTTGTGAAGCGCGTTTTTAAATATGAGCTCCTATGGATTACAATACTAGTCGGGAAATCTCGAATTTAAAGTGTGACTAAATAAATACAATAACATATATATATATATATATATATATATATATATATATATATATATATATATATATATATATATATATATATATATATATATATATATATATATATATATATATATATATATATATATATATATATTTACAACACAGGGGCAAACGAGTATGCGGCTCACCTGATGGTAAGTGACTACCGCCGCCCATGATCACCCACAGCACCAACGGCATTGCAGGTGTGCTGCCGGCCTTTTAAAAAGGAATATACTCTTTTCTTGAAAGTTATGTTGTCGTATCGGTTCGGAAATACTGCTGCTGGAAGTTGATTCCAAAGAATGGTTGTGCGTGGAAGGAAGTGCCTTGAAAAACGCACGGTGGAAGACCGCCACTCGTACAGATGGTTGGGATGAAACTTTAGTTTGTGGCGGGTTGTACGGTGGTGAAAATCAGCAGCAGGTATCAATCCGAACAATTCCTCAGAACACTCTCCATGATAAATTCGGTAGAAGATGCACAGAGATGCAACATCTCTGCGCAGTTTCAGTGGGTCAAGTCGGACAGCAAGGCGTTGACTATCAATAATTCGAGCCGCCCGACTTTGAATGCGGTCTAACGGAAGGAGTTGGTACTATATTGTTGTACTGTTGGTATTTCTAACACCAAAGTCTTTAGTGGTGAAAATAGTCAATTACTCTGGTCACGTAACGGATAAAGAGTGAAACGGAATCATTAGGGGTATGTAAAACTAAGAATAACGTAAAATATCCAAAAGTGGTGGATAAATGTTTCATCAGAATCAACAACGCATGTGACACCCCTAGTATCGTAGGTGGCCATAGGCTGTAGTAACCGTTTACCACTAGATTTTTTTTTATACAACTAAGTTTAGAAACCCCTGCTATAGAGCACCATTATTGATCTAGATTTCGAGACATTGAGAGAACATTGAAGGTCTTGGAACGGTTTCCATAAACAAGACCGTGCGCCAGAACGACGCGACAGCTTGACGCCGTTCGGTCAATGTCAAAATTCACCACAACGTAAAAGAGAGTAACCTAATATTTAAATTTACCTTTTATTGTATATATTGTGTAAGGATTTTTTTTAAACTACTTACAATGGCAAACAAGCTGACGGCCTACCTGATGGAAAGTGGTAATCGTCGCCTATAGACATGAGCAGTACCATGAACATCACAGAGTACTGTTTCGCCAATGATACCCCCCGTACGTTGCCATTGCTAATGTCGTAGGCGGCCATAGGCTGTAGTAACCGTTTACCATCAGATAGACTGTATGCTCGTTGCCACTTTCGTGGTAAAAAAAAACTCATTAAAGCTTAGACTGGAAGCCCCCGCTGCAGGCCACTAGTATAAGTGACGTTCGGGCGGGTGATCGTGCGAGTCGCATTATGACATACTATTGTTTATTATTTCCTATACCTACCTACCGTACCAGGAGGACATACATTAGGAGATTTCCTGAATCAAAAATTTTAAAACGACACAGATTATGAACCTCTCATACTAAAATCTGTGGGGTTACTCTTGAAATAAATTCTAATAGAACGATATATGAATTGAGACGTTTCGTACTCTCGAATTGCAACACTAGTTACATAATGGTTTCATATTGTTCTGATAGATATGCATATTAGTATAACTTGCTAATGCAAATTTAACTCAACCTAATTGTTTCACGAGGGTGGTAGAAAATTGATTGGATTAAGATCGACATTGGATTCCAGAGTAGGCCTGCTGGACGCGCTGTTTTAGTATGGGAGGTTCGTTTTTTTAACACGTTCCTTTCGCGAAAATTTTTATTTCCACTGGCAGAAAACTCCTTTCATTGGATGTTAACTATTTAAATTTGAACTATATACCTCTCTAAAGTGGAGAAAGAGAATAAAGAACAATCTGTACTTTATATTTTAATGTATTAACTACCTGTGACTAAGACTCGCGTCTCGTCTCAGCCACTCAAGATTAAGGGTCCCTAATGGTACCGAAACTAGTCGAGCTTTCTCGACCAAATTACACGTAAGTTAAACCGGTAGTTATTACATTAAATTATAATGTGTACTAACGAATCTTATAAAATTGAAATCTGCATTCTATTCTTTTCTTCATTGGCATAGACAAAAATAAAAGACTGTATATCAACAACACCTGATTATATTTAAAGTCTCGAGACAAATAAAAAAATAAAAAAAAAAACAACAATGGTTTTCATTTAAAAGTTCACCTTACAATTTTCTTACATAAGAACGAAATATTTAAAGATGTAAGCAAAAAAAAAAGGTATTCAGTTTTATTATGTATCTGAAATTATTCAATACTGGAGACATGGTTGTAATTATTGTATTAAATAACTTATACAAAATGGTACTGAACTGACAACAACGATGCGAAAAGTACGAACGAACCATCACGGGCTTTAAATCATAGTGACATACATGCAAAAATGATTTTGGATTATTAATTTCTATAATTTCGCTTAAAATTATACATTTGTTCATAATATAGACCGAGGAATAACTACATGGGACAAATAAAGGAAACACTAGGTGTCATGTCGTATAGGAAGATGGCATAAGATAGTGCTGGCTGGAAGAGCATAAATTAGTTGCATCCACAAGAGGGTTTCCTTTTGTGGGTGTAACTAATGAGCTTTTAAATGAAAAGAAGAAGGCATAATACTTATATGGGTATATACAAATTTTCTTTATATTTGACCTATTGTAAAAAACGATGTTTTATTTTCTCTTTTAAAAGGTTTTGCATGTACGTAGATTTGAAGCCAGTGACAATGATTCTTATTATGGCAATATTCCTGTACAATAACACATGCATATGAATATATTATATATGTAAAATTGCATAGAATTCGTACGTTATAACTGACTTTGCAATTATTGTCTCTCCAGCATCATAGTATTCTCTTAGTACAATGGTGGAGGTATCCTTGAAAAGTTTGCATCCAGATATATTACTCAAACAAAAAAAAAAAAAAAGAAACCAAAACTATCGCTTCCAAAGACGAGAAAGTTAAAATTTCACCATCCTGAAGACTTGTACGTAAATCTAGAAATTAAGTTTAAATGCAATAAACCGATCGTATAATGAGTAAAAGGAATAACTCTTATTTATAATATCTACAATACTTACAAATTTAAAAGGAGTTCATAAGATACACACTGATAAATGATTGTGAAACAACAAGAAAAAAAAAATCAGAACAGAAGATGACCTATACTATATGCTATTGCAAATAAAGATTTAAAACACAAATGATTACAATGCAACTTAAACCTTAATGACAAATGATAAGGCGCTATTTTGTTTGTGTTGAAATAAAGGAAGATTATTCAAAATATAAGAAACCACTGCTAGTGCAGGGATATTTGGTAAGTGGTAGTAATCGAAGCAGGAAACCAATCAAAATTTCTAACTTTTAGAAAGTAATTCTGTTTAAATAGTTCATAATAATGGACTTTACATTGTAAACTGATATACCACTTATTTACAGGCACAATACCTAGTAGTATTACTATTATATTTGTAATTATTTTGCTAGCTACAAAATGTAAGAAATTTGACAAAGGTCTGTACTTTTGGACCTTTGCAACCGTTTCTTAAAATTACATATTAACATTTTTAAGAAAACAAAAAAGAATAAAAAAAAGTGTCATTAATACAAAATTTGTATAAAATACTACATTTTTATTCTATCTACTTCATGTTTGGCCCCTTAAAGGGTGGCCAGAACATTTGCATTTGTACCAATTATCATTTTGTTAACTAAAACACAGTATAAACTAGTTTTTTTTTATATATTTGTTTATACAAGAAATCGAACATGAAAAAAATAATAATGGAAAAGCTGGATTTTTGCGTACAACTTTGTTATTCGGACTATTTAAAATTCCAAAAGAGATCTTGACATTTTTTTTTTGGAGTACATTCAATAGGAGTATCGCTAGATTAGGCGGGGTCAAACGTCACGGCAGACGGACAAAATCAGTCGAACATATTTCCCTTTTATACTAAAAAAAAAACAACAAAATTTGATAAAAAAAAAAAACTTACTGAAATTAACTGAAAGTATTACAATGTTTTACTAGTTATTTAACTGTAAAAAAATTGTGAAAATATTTTGAACAAGTGACATTTTCCTACATGTTAAGGCTTAAGTTAGTTAAACTAATAACATAATTCATTTTATCCTGTTTAAAGTATGTAACAGAGGGATATAACAATTTAAAATCCAGCTTAAATTTATTAATCACCTTAATGAAAAGCATTACAATGTATATACTTTTTGAGTAAATTATTCATTTTGTAGAAAAAACACTATCTCTAGAATCATTTCTATAACACTTTGGAACATCAAGTGCCAATGTTTAAATTAAATACGACAAAAATCTCTGCCTTAAGAAGGTAAAGCATAACTAAAATAAATTTCATTACTAAAATTTATTAAAAATTTTCACAAAGAATTTTTTAATAAAAAAAAATCTTTTTTCCTGTGTCCGAGAGTATGTCACAATTTTACAAAATTTATATATTATGCTTTTTCTTCTCAACTGGGCTGCCCTTTTAGATAAGTTTCAAATGCATCTATAAGTAGACACGAAACAGCAACGACTGGCATCTCATTTTCTTTCACACGCATAGTAGCGAAAGCGTATCAAACGAGATGCGTTTGACACTTGTCTAATAGAGCGGAATACATAGCCTAATACATTTGGAACACTTAAACAACACAGTAACACATTTATTTACAAAACTACAGTAACAAAGTTAAGGCTGATTTAGTGCCTGTTTTGTTCTACTCTCCAAATCCTTAACATATTGGATATAAGATTTTAAAACATAAAACGTATTTTAGTTATTACAACATAACAAAAATTTATTTCTCAAATCGTATAATAACTACCGGTTTAACTTACGTGCAATTAGATCGAAAAAGCTCGAACTAGTTTCGGAATAAATTCGTGACCCTTAGTCGCGAGTGACTGTTACGCGAGCACGAGACTTACATTTATTGATAATGTAATCACACGTAAGTTAAACCAGTAGTTATTACATTAAACTTACTTGCTTACGAAACATTTAACATATAAAAACTACCGAATGTTTTTTAAATATATTACTCTTAGACAATTTTTTTTAGTTATGAACATTCAAAAATAGTAGACCATTCATAGTTACGAACCAGTTAGGCCAAATTATAGGGCAAAAATAAGATGACGTTTACTGAGCGGGGTTTTTCAACATGTGACCGACAACTGCCTGATGACAGACACAGTCCGAACAGTATCTATGAATATATTTGAATAAACGAAGATGGGAAATCTTCACATAATTCTTGACAGAGAACATTCTAAATTGATTATCAGTATAATAAAATAAATGGCAACTATTGGCAAACCCCCCAAGGGGGAGGCTTATGTTCAGCAGTGGACAGTTAAAGGCTGATATGATGATGATGATAAAATAAATGTGATGATTTAAAAACGCTTGTATAGAGTCCAATTCCCTTATTCATGAAAATGCCAAATCTGTCATAAATCCATTTTAGCTATTAAACTGATTTGTCTCGTTGGTTTCTATTGTGCTAAGTTCTCAATTTGAAAATGACAAAAGTAATAGTTAAAATGAGTTTGTAGATTTTAATTTTTATAAATAAGGGAGTAATTTAATAAAATCAATAAACAGTTGACCGCATTAAAACAGGTCACAATTTGCTTTTGTGATTATAGAATGGGCGTTTTAATTTATTATAGCAAACTAGACAATTATATCGTTGCAGTATAATAGGAAAGAAAAATGTATGTACACGTCGACAATGACGTCAAGACGATATGTATGTAAATGTGTAATGAAAATAACGTAACTATAAATTCTTCCGTCTTACGACAAATTACAAAACCGCTCCAATATGTACAAGTTTAGATGATGGGTATTTGACGTGCGTTTATCAAGAAATATCACAGTTATAAGTGACAGAGACGACAAATCTTTAAAACAAAATCTGGCCAATTATTTCTTTGTAGGTCCTTAGTCTAATATTTAGTTTCAGGAACTGTACGTAGTTGTAGATATTTCTGGAGTAAAAATATGCAATCTTTTACAATGAATAAAATATTGTTAAAAAAGAATATCTGACTTCAATCGTGAAAAAAAAAACCAGTTGTTTATTTATAAACTTTTGAACTGATTTGAATAAAATGTCTATGGCGCAAATCTGTAAGTATATCCATTCAAATAAAAAAAGAATTTCCCAAATTGGTTTATAAATGATGAAGTTATGAGGTAACAAACATAAAAAAATATAATCAAATCGAGAATCTCCTTGAAATCATGAAATAAAGGCCTATATCAAGCTGCGTAGTAGTAGACAATATGCCATTCTATCTTCACACAACAAAAGACCCATACTCACATGGAATATTATTGAAGTTAATGGGTTGTTATGGAACTCAGCCCGCTCCTAACGCCGATCATATCGTCATAGTCGTAGAATACTGACGGACCTGATAAATATTACATATAAAGGTCCGTCGGTATTCTACGACTATGACGATATGTAGCAATAGTATAAATTACATAAGACATAACCAAGTAATAATACATTTGACAACCCTGGCTACCTTCCAATCCTGACGTCACAAATGGTCTTAATTATCAGCACCTTTGTTTCTTTACAAGCACTAAATAGTTCATGTACCACGAGGGCGACGCTTCAGCGCGAACTAAGACTTCTGGCCTTTGGGCCTTTGTGATACAACTATGCAGTTATCGGCCAGTTGGTTGCGCATAGAGGCGTTCTCTTTACGCGCCTCTGTTAATTCTTGGTTGAGTCTTATTATTTCTAGCACGAGTTTCTCGTTCTTCATCTCGAGTTTCTCCAACCTGGAAATGTACATAATGGTAAGTATGTGCATTCTTCTTCCTGCCCTTTTCTCATATGTATTTGGAGATTATTTATTTATTTTAAAAGGTACATCAACAGTGTAAATACAGAAATTAGGGGGAAAGGGAGTTAGTAATGGAGACTGAGAATCCCATTGCTAGCAATATACCCAACCAGGTAGACCTCCTCACGGTTCTCCCTGGAAACTATCATAGTTAATTCCTGATGAATTCATCATGATGGGCTAACTAGCCTGTTTTCATTATCATCTATCACCCATCACTGGTGCTCTGGCAGCGTATCCCGTTAGCGCCGACGGGGTTACCATACCATTTGCTTAAGACATTGAATTCACATTAATAAAACTGACACCAACAAAACAATGGAAAAAGAACATACAAGTGATAACATAAGAATACAAGGTACAATTATTAGAACAGTTATTAAAATTATTAAAAAAAAAAAAGAATTGGTGTAATACATCTTCTTCTATTCCTCTCTATTTACAGCCATCTCACTACTTACTCGCTTTCTGGACATTATCATCTTTCACACAATCTATTAATCTCTTTTTGGGTCTTCCTCTGTACTTATAACCATCCTCATAACTTTCTTACTATGTAATAACTTTATTACAGATGTCCATACCATGACAAAAGACTACTTCTCATCTCCATTATTGACTCTACTTTCAAACTTGCTTAGAAACAAATTTGAAATCTTACCTAAACTAACTGATACACATGCAAATTTCAACAGTATTTAATGCACAGTAGAATCATATTCTAAATTAAGACAAAAATTTTCAAGTTTCTGTTTACACAAGCGTAACCGCACGTTAAATTATCATTTCAGCTTAATTGTCGATTGCTGTAGTATAGTAAATTTTTCCTATAGCACATTTAGTGGAGGGTGATATTATATTCCCGTGTGGTCCCGGCATAGAATAGGCCACCTCTTCCTTTCCCGTGGATGTCGTAAAGACGACTAAGGGACAGTGAGGGATGGGCAGTAGTGTCTCTTTTAAAACATCGCTAAAGCCTGTCTGTGATTGCCAAGCGTGGCAACTACTGGCAATACCTCCCAAGGGAGAGGCTAATGTTCAGCAGTGGACAGTTAAGGGCTGATATGATGATGTTGATGATGATACTACATATTTATGTTGGTCTATACAAAACAATCCCATGATCGTCATTCAAAAACCTTCCCCATAAATTGTTGGATCTTCAAGCTATAGGGACAACTCACTATTTCCCCATCTTGCTTACATTTCAATTTATAGCTAGTAAGTAATACAATTTACAAACATTTTTTGTCTCTCAGTCAGCTCTGTTATGTAGTCACAGGCTTTCGCTAATATGCCTCCTTTACTGGCTGAATCTGGTAGGCCAGAGTTTGGCACGAGAGCCGCCAACTTAGTGATCCAACTATTGATTTTGTCTCGACGGCGTCTCTCCACTTCGTTGTGTGTGGCTCGCCTTTTATCATCTCGCTGAAAATAGAAATGAAGAATAACATAATTTAACTGTGAAAGATTAGCTTATAATACATTGCATCTATAACCCCATACCAGGTTAAGCCTATCTCATAGGTATCAAAGCAAGAAAGTTAACGATAGTGGTGCATATATATAAACTATGTATTTTACATATTATTATATTATATGAAATTGATTTCCATGAAAAATGGAGTTATTTAAAAAAAATATAAGTCTAAAAACAAAGAAAAAGTTTGAGCTGTCTGTAGTATCAGGGCAGGTCTAGCTCTTTAGTTAGTATGGGAAAGTCAATATCTTTGTCATTGCTCTGTTTGTGTTTCATTGATAAAGTATTTAGTTTTACTCATAGTGCTTTTAAAAAAATGCTAATAGCTTCGATTTTCCACTGTGATGTGCCTTAAGGAGGCATAAAAAGCGCCAAAACACATTTTTCTTTACTATATTTATTATAATCAGCCTGAAGTCGAGAAAGTGGCGAAGTGAGAGTATAACTTATTAAGGAAATTAGTTTTCACCTTCTTTGCAGTCACAGCTTTTGCCTGCAATGGTTCTCTATGGTTGGCTTTCTTTTGTGCTGGAGCTCCAAAAACCTCAATAGAATTGCTTATGACGTAATATTCCGTGTCTAAAATAATAATAATTATGATTATTATTAAATTACCTATCTATCTTCACATCTCCCTCTATTTTCATTAGACAACAATTTATTAATTGCTATTTATAAAAGTTATCATTAAAAAATATAAAAAAAAAATAGTAATGCAGGTCAGGTTTGCTCGTCCTTTTGTAATTAGGTGTTAAGCAAGTCACTTTGCATGCATCATAATATTATTAAAAGAAATTATGCTGAATTTTGGAAGTCGAATCGGCATTTTGATCATAGGGCATAATATGAATAAAATAGCAACAATTTCATTTATATAATGCATATTGTATTATGATTAATTTTAAACCCCTTTCCATATAGTACAATAATGTCAATAAAAAGAATTGAAAAAGAATAAATACACTTACTATGTGATGGAGAGTGAGAAGTTATGCTGTTGGCTGGTTCTTCACCCGCCATTTGGACAAATTTGTAGGTAACGTTGCCAGCTGTAACATATTATAGATAGGTCTAGATAAGGTATATACATTATAGGTTATAAAAAATCTGAATGGGCCAAGGGGAAAATAAAAAATGACCTAGAACTACATTTTTTTATGCAACTTAGAATGGCAAATAACTGACAACAACAACAATTATATACTGCTATGTCCATGTATATTATAGGGGGCTAAACAATGTTTATCAGATCAGCTATTGTAATATAAATTTAATTCATATTGACCCTCAAAATAATGTTATAGCCATAATATCAAGTTTAAGATTTTGATTCAAAAATAGACAATAGCATTTTAGAATGAACTCCAATGTTTATTACTTTTCTAAAGTAAACATTTTCATTTGTTCCTATAGTAAGCATGCATATTGCACATCACTGTTACCCTGTCACATAGATATCTTAGTAAATAGTGTTCCATTATACGATTTATTTGGTAGATCAATTAGTATTATGATATATTGATATTATTGTTATAGTTCAAAACACACAAATAGAATTTAAAATATGTACATACAAATATCTCTGAAGTTGTATGAACTATTTTCATTTGTATCCAAGAAGGACTGCGAAACTAATTGGGACCGTTCTTCTGCTCCTGGAAAGAATAATTAAATTTAACTTAATTCAATATTGATGTAAGTACATAGATGTTGTGAACGAATTAAGTTTATTCAGTTGTTAGCGGTTTTGTTTACTCACCGCAAGGGCCTTCATGATCATCCACCATAGAAATATATTCGCTGTCAGCGCTGTAAATAAACAAATTAAATATATATAGTAGAATATAAGTAAATTCACAAAACAAATAGGTAGTATAGCGATTGCCAAGTTGCAAAATTATTAACCAATGACCTTCGTACGAATCTGTCTATAATTATATAATACACTTTATACGGTAATATAGGTGCAGCAATTTACCTGTTATCAAGAGAACTTTCGTGTATATCGGGTTTAATTTCAACTTTAGCCATTGCGCGTAATTATTTTTGAATTTTCTCAAATTGATCACGGGGACAAAATAAAAGGGTCATGTGATATGATCATAGACAACAAAACCACAGATTAAATGTACAGAATCCATAAAGTAGACGTTATAGATTAAGAATTAGCATACAATAGTATGCTAATATTTTGCATATAGTTTACGACAGTTTAAATTGCGCGATATTTTCTTTTAATCTTAATTTTCAACATAATTTATAGAAATACCTACCTACCTAAAAGCGGTTATCTACTATTCGTTAGTACCGCCTCTGTAGAACGATTTAGGAACAAACATTAGTTTTATTTTTTATCACTTGATCGCTAGTGGCGCTTTTTTATCTGATAAAAACGTACCTAATATAATAATCACGTACTAAGATAAAAGTGCATTAACTTATAGAACACAATTACAGTATGTCTAAAGAACACAATATTTTAACCTGTAGAAGACCGCAAGCATTATTCTTTCCTTAACTTATGTTTTAACATTCCTATCGTTTAAGAAGCAATCGTGTTACATATTTTTTAACATCGTTCGCAAAGTATCACCAAACACCTATTCAAATTAAATTCTATTTAACATCTTTAAATAAGAAGATGATGATAGTGTACTAATATGTATACCTAATGAATATGAGACTTACCTAATGCCTAAAAATGCCCACAGCTAAAATATAAATTTATTGCATTATTTTCAGTTTTGCATTTAAATAAATCCAATTAGCTATAGCTGCGACATCGATTATATGTACTTTATCTTAAATTTCATTAGATGGATTGAAAATAATAATAACAATATTAAAAAACAAAAACAAAATGGATAGTTTTTGTTAGGGAAGTTCTAGTTTTTTGCTGTCGGTACAAAATCTTATTAAAAAACAATAGGGTCGACTCTGGTAGGTCTTAAAGTACTTAGTGCCCCGGATCTGAGCAAACAAGGGCCACCAGTGAGGGATGATAGGTGTGAATCGTGATGAACACACCAAGAATTCAGCACGGTTCATGGTTTCCAGGGGGACAACGTGGAGGTCGATCTGCTATATTGCTAACTTCCTCCTTCACCCTCATTGATAACTATAAATTAGGTTTCTGAAAGAAAAACACCTAATGGACGACTAAAAGAAGATCTTCCATCTCATAACATTACTCGGTTCGGTGGCCTCCTTATTTGTGGCGCCTCTGGACGTTCGACCGCGCGTCTCTGTAAGGGCGATACAAAATGACAATAAAGAAGAAAAAGCTATATAATAAGTCTTTATTTATGAATTTGAATTAATAATGTCTATTAACTGTGGCGCCTGTAGATACAGTCGAGCTTATCTGTTCATTTCATTGAATGTTGTTCAATAGACTGGCCATCAATATTTCAAGTGTGACATAGATAAACGATGGCATTCTCTTTTTACGAACTGTGACATTTAAATTTCAATATACATTATACTTACATAGATAGATAGGTTTTATATGCCTGTGTCAAAATATCGATGACGATAGGTATCATAAAAGATTAGAGACCATAGAGCAAGTTTGCAAACAACTTGATTTTCAAATTCAATGAATTTTTTTTAATGCATACATATCACACAATTTTTTTTGTTCGTAGTGACGCGGATCTGCTACTTTTCATCTAGGTACCTATCAAAAGTATCAAGGAATTTTTTTTGCATCGATAAGGAAAAATGAAAAGAAAAACATTATTAGGAGAAAGACAAGTTATCTATAAAATCAATCTATACATTTTTTCGCTGAAGTTAAGGGATGCGCTTCTACATTCAAATCACTATGACAATGTTCCAATGATTTCAATCTGAATCTGAAATAGGTATAGAGAATCGACAGCTAAAACTTTTTGTAATATGAATAAAATTTTATTACATCGACTCTATAAAAAGAAAGAAATATTATCATATCAAGTAAACTAAAATATTAACATTTTAGAATTGTTATTTTTATAATTTTACTGCTCATTCGGAACGCAAATGAAATGGCAAGAAACTCAGTCGTTACTTTTTTCAAAAATAGCCAGTGTTTAATAATTCTTCATTTAGGGTGGTTCAGGCGTTAACAACAGGTACTATGATCTTATCTTAAATGGTGACTGCTTTATTATTTAAAATATTAGATTTTCATCGTGTCACTACTTAAGGCCCGATCATGAATTTGGGATAAGCATTCGGGATAATTCTTTAAGAAAGAATACTTGATTCTATCGGAGTTTTAATGACAAACACTTTATATTATATATACAGACCCTTGAAAATTTGAGGTTACAGTATAAAGTTTATAATAAATTAATATTAATCATGATTATTAGCATCAAATTTAATAAATAATAAAGGTATAAAATTTTGAAAATGGAAAATAAATAATGACATTGATCGTGTCTACTATATTACTATTCTTATTTTAAACGAGTAAAACGCACCGATAGACAACGAGGTGGTAGATACCTACATAGTTTTAAAATATTTAAATATAGAATATTATAGTATCGTAAGCAATGTAACAAGCAGGAATTTGTTTAGTAAAAAAGAATATGGTAAAACTGGTAAACAACAATGTTAAAAATCCGTTCAGAATTGGCGAAACTATAATCTAAGTGCGTAATATATTCACAAAAAATAATTGGGAAACGCCCCCTTTTCATAGATAGGCAATACATATGTTATATTACAGAGTAACGCCATTCATCATGATTCCTTTCGAGTTCTTTAAGAAATATTCTCATAAAAAAAATTATCACTAATCGAATTTAATGTTATCCAGATGTTATTATATACATGACAATTTACTTATAAGCCGATTGAAGGGATTGTTAGTAATATGTAAATAATAGGGCAGTTAATCCTCATTGTTTTAGGACGACCTCCACGCTGTACCTCCTGGAAACCATCGTAGTTAATTCCTAATGAAACCGCCATGATGGGCCAATTAACCTGACTTTATCTTCACCTATTTTCTCTCACTGGTTCTCTCCAGTGTATACCTGTAGCGCAGGAGAGATTATTCCATTTTCAACATATTAAATCGGGGGGACGGGGATTATTAGTAATGGGGTCTTGCAGTTCCATTGCTAACAATATACCCTATCAGGTCGACCTCCACGCGGTTACCCCTGGAAATAATCGTGGTGAAATCTTGTTGAATTCAGGATGAGCTAAATGACCTGCTTTCATTCTCACTTGTCATCTCTCATTGGGGGCGCCAGTTCACGGTGGGGATACCATTAAATTATCATCCATTTATTAAAAAAAATCTACCTATCAGCTGGTTGCAATTTATTTATATAAAAGTGATTAAGTATATGTCAGAACTCAAAAATAAACGTATAGAAAATTCGCGCTATTCTAGAATTGAGTTTGTAAATTGGAAATTTAACAATCTGATTTTACGCTGTCACGTTTTCGATCACTTGTTGTATGTATTTTAAATTCACAGTACGGGATCGAATGGATACTGTAATGCATTTACTCGTCGTAAAAAGTTCAGATGTTGATGACACGCCATATGCTGGATGGTATACCGTAAAATGCAATATATTCTGTGCAACAACCTTAGATTATATATATAGAGTGCCTCCATAGAAATGCTTCAAGAATAACGCCTCAACTTTTGTGTGATAAATAGTTATGAGTGATTCCTTTATAACTTCTATATTTATTATGTTTTATAATTTGTGCATCTTTTTATTGCGTACACACTCATTTTATTTATTAAATAATACGTCAAGATACATTTTATGCATAACTATATAGAACTCTGATAAACAAACGAGTTAGTTAATTTAGCTGACAAAAAGTTGATCCGTTTTTGAGGCTTGATGTTCTATCTATATAGTTTAAGGCAATAATGTATTTTTTTATGTGCTTTTATTTATTTATTTATATACATATTTTTGGTAAGTTTTACAGTATTTACCGATGCACTCCCTAAAAATTAAAAAATCAAACCTTATAATAATACAATATTGAAATAATTATAAAATAAAAATCTAATTATGTTATATAAAATAAATATTAAAAATGCATTTCTGCTTAATTTGTTACTGCTATGCGAAACTCTATGGCAGTACAGTGAAATAAGTTCAGATTCGAACTCGCTACTACCTCATTGAGCAATACCAGATTATCAAGCATTACTAATTTTTGAATATTTAAACTGACTGACGACACAATCTGTCGATAGATTTTTTTTTTATATTATATCTAATAATTTAAAATCGCCTGTATGTGTAGGCCTCGGTATAAAATGGGTTACCCTTTATCGTGGGTGTCGTAAGAGGCGACTAGGCTTATGGAATAGGGATTTCGTTTTGCGGCATGCAAGCAGTGACTCTGTTTAAACATCACCAAAAGCTTAACTGCGGTTGCTAACCGCCTGCCAAGCGTGGCAACTATTGGCAAAATTCTCCTTATGGGAAAGGCCTACGTTCAGCAGAGGACAGTTAATGGCTGGAGTAATTTAAAAAAAAATTAAAATACCTACTTAGGTAGGTACATATTTTAGGTTTTAACGTGGGTCGTATAAATATTTTGTTATAATATTTCTTAGAATTACTTATTAGAACTACTTATGAACTCAACTCACAGAAATTAGGTAACTCCAGACAGCAAGCCTCCAGATAATTCGTAAAGTTCCAAATAATCAATTAATTTGTCATCTTAAATACAGGTAAGTACCCATCTAACTATACAAAAGACAGAATTAATTGAATCTCGTCTGAACTTTCACTTCAAACTTCAAGCAGATACAAAATATCTGTTGTTTAAGATTGTACAACGAGACAAAGCTATTGTCTGGTAATACCTAAGCTCCAGTCGATTTCCAATATTCACCATCTTGTTATAGTCACGATCTCGATGTTTTACATCTAGAATCTAGATGGAAGATCGAGTGTTGCAAAACGTTGCAAAAAATGGACAGCCAATTATTGGCTGGAGCGTTTTTTTTTTGTACAAAGCGTTGAAATTTTTAATTTCTTGTTAGGGCAAATGAAAATTAAAGTAACAATAGGATACCATAGAATTTATAATATATATGGGTTATCTTTAGTGTTATTCATATCTA